TCATCAATCAGTGCACATCGTTGTCCATGCCGAGGTACGAATTCCGATCTCCCAAGTGAGCACTTGACCAGCTCAAAATGGACACCCCTGAATTAACATGTTTGAAACTCCGGTCCAATGCTTCCCACATTTGATGTGGACTTACTAGAACAATTGCGCCAAGACAGGGGGAGGACTGTTCAAACGACAGTGATGTGAGAAGCGCGAAGTCTAAGGCTTAGCATCACAAATCAGACCAGATTTACTCCACTTTTATTGTACGGTAATCCCACGCAAATGAGATGTTCCATCTCATCGACAGTTTGCGTTTGAAACCGGTCTCCTCCAAGAGAATTACGAGGCCATCCCCCGTGGTGGTCTCGCTTTATTGCTTTTCTAATGAAGTCCAACCTATGGTATGATTCTTACCGTCTAGAAATTACAGCGGGGACAAGAATGTCTTGCTGACGGTCGGTGCTTGTGTTCCTGCTCTGCCCACTGTGGCACATCAAAAGTCACGGTTGCTTGAGACAGCTGTTTGTGGAGACGATTACAGATGCATATTTAGGGTCACCACAGAATGCTCCACTAGGTCACGCTGGAAACTTGGTAACGGAGCGAGTACTGCTCGCTGTAGATTGGCTGACATTCTGACCAATCAGAGCATGTCTTCATTTAGTCTTTAGTCCGCATCCGACACGTCCGTTCAATCGATGCGGTGTTCGGGCTGCTGGTCTCCGGACAGCCGGCTTATGTACCATTATTGGTTCCCTGAGTCTCAAGAGTTGGGGACTGCATACCGAAGGACCACCAGCATTGAGTACAACCACGCGGTCTGAAACACCGTCAACAGGACGATACATGTTTGAATCAACCATATCGACTTTAGAACTATCCACAGGTGAAACCAAATACTTGTAGTGTTCACGTTAATTCCTTGTAGCTAAGCCACCTGCATGCATTTAAAAAAACGCCATCAAGTCCATCAACTGGGGTGGAGACAAAATTTTTACTGTATTAGTCAAAGCTTTATGGCAAGCGCAGTGATAATTGACTTGTGTGTGTGTGTGTGTGTGAGAGAGAGAGAGAGAGAGAGGTAAAAGC